TTGTCAATCATCATGTTAGAAAAGTACACTGTAGTTATTTAACGCAGAAGCGATGAAGATAATTTATGTAAGCGGTAGTGATATATTGTTCATACGGCTTGCTACAGCGAATCTTCGTGAGATAAGTTCCATACTAAACTATGCAAATCAGAAACTTTAGGTAACTCGCAAGATTAAACAAATATTCGGAGTGAAATTGAGCCATATATTGCCAGTATAACCTGCTTTAGTGCATCTCAACCTTGCATATGTTCTTCAATACGTCTGCCCTGCCTCTTCTTGGTTCTCCAGTGTCGATGGATACTTACCACCACTTCGATCCTGTACATAACATTTCCTTCCAATGCTTTCTGCACTTTAGAGCATCGGGCATAGCTATAATTTCAACGTGAGAGTAAACTTGCAACAGATGCAGTGGAATGTTTGTAAAACATTTGAAAATTCGTCTTCCTCAGGAACACTTTTATTACATTGGGGAGTCTGAGGACAGACGGGTTAGTTTTATAAATTTAAATTTATGATCTACATCTTGCCATGACTTTTAATTAGTTATCAATAGATTCATATATGTGAAGCATTTGATGAGTTTATCGTTCAATTTCAGGTCCCTAAAGAGCATGAGCTTCAGGTGCGTCAAGACGAAATGCGAGAGTGACAGGGAGTATGATCGAAAGTATCACATAAGAACATAGTGTTGCTCATTGCTCGCACGCCAGCTACTTCCTACCCGTATCTCGGCTAGATTCACAAAAGCGTCGCAAGATAAATTCATTGCTCAAGAAAATCAGCAGTTAATCAGAAAAAAGCGAATTCACAGTTAACAGTGGAAGGAACCCGGTATCACTAAGAAGCGAAGCAACGACTTACATCTATTCACTAAGCCTCTGCAACCATACGCGACAGTGACGTCATTTCATAAACTATTACTTACAGAACAAGAATCTCTATCAGTTGTCATAAAAACAATTTTTATATCCCATTCATTATCTGTAGTCATATGCACAGTAAAGAAAAGGAAGAACCGCTGCAATGTCAGTCTTCCTCACACTTTAATTATACAGGAATTTTGGGCTCCTTCCTTTTATGAGGTAACTCGAGGGGCGCTGATCTCCATTTCCATGCCGTTACCTGGGAGTGCATTACTTTTTTCAAAACAGAGTTAGTAACAGCTATGTGGCAAGCATACATGCAGTCTCCTATTTCGCTACCACACAGCGGCACTCACTTATCAAAAATCAGGGCTCGAACCACGACCTCCTGGCTTTGAGTTTAGCATTCTATTGACTGACCAACCTCGCTCTGCATGTACAGTAATCAAGTGTCTGTTAAGATCTAAAATCATCGACAAACAGTAGAGTCAAGGAACCGAAGAAGGGTGCGCTCGAACTCTGCCCTTCTAAGATGCCACAGTGCGCAGGCATATACAAAGACGCTAAAGATATGGTTCAGCCCGATTCAGTAATGCGATGTGGCATTTATGCATGCAGATTCGTAGATTACATGGAACGGTGGTGGATTAAGCGGTCATCCATGCAGCTAGGAGTAAAAGAATGGTATGTCTACAGCATAAAAATGCGGTCAAGTGATACGAAGATGCAACAAACATACCCCAGTGACAAAAATCCGAAGATATTATAAACACGGTTCTTGGTTCAGCCAGGTAATGAGCGAAGATCTTGCCATATTCAATTGTCTTGGAACGAGTCAAGCTCCCAACCAACACCGGAATGACGCTGAAGGAAGTTGAACGACTAAACCATGTTTATAAGAGACGAGATTCACACCTTACGTTGTGTGTCTGTCACCTGCGCATCATTTTCGCCAGAAAGGGTAGCTGCATTTCGATGCTGTGCTCGGCGTCATCCGTTGACGAATGCATCAGTTGAAACTGGCCGCTTTTCATCAGCTCCCTATTAACTGCACATGGCTTTAGACAGGGGGCGGCAAAAGACACGTCAATGGTAGAAGTACCCTTCTGATCGACGACTAGGTCGTACAACGGCGTGCCGCACATGTCATAGCTGCTCAATGCGCAGCCATTGAATGACACGTGATGCGATGGTCCGAGAACGAACACTCTGTCCCTGAAACAATAATAACAGATTAGTGGCACTGCATCGGTATGCAAAGATTAGCAGGCAGTCACGTGGTAGTTGGATCAATCTGCTTGAACCCGTATGCAGCACAGCTCCCACAGTACACATATCCGGCATGCCTGGTAAAAAGTTACAATTAGCGAGAAGAAGCATCACTCAAGAAACAGCGGCGATCTTACGGCGAGATGATGGCTCGTGTCGACTCATATCGCTCTTTGACGTCCTCTAACCATTTGTCTAACATCGATTCCAGTTCCTGGGCGTCGTCAGAGTACCAGCTACCGGCATGAGTGGCTGGCCTCACGGATACAGATCCATTGAGCATCTTCTGTGAAACAAGCAATGAGTGATAAGCAGAAAATCGACGAGCGGGATATCATATAACCAAATGATAAAAAATGTGTAGAAGAGGAAAATGTGAAAAAAAAACAGCAGAAGAAGAAAGTAGGAAAAAGAATATGAATAAAATGAAAGTTGGCATGCGGACATACCTTACTCTGTATCGTGCTAGAATCACAACCTCAAGTTTATGCGATGACATGCCTGGTTCATATCTTACATTCACTACGGGTGCACATAAGCAATGGAGCCATGACCTATTTAAATAGTCGCATTAAGAATTTAGAAGCAAAGGGGCGATGCAAGGCTGTCGTAAAACTTCGTGCAATGACATGTATTGTCACTGACTACGGCAGTAATGGTGCAAATTAAAACGTAAAAAAGTAAGAATATGAAGAAGGAGAAATAGAAGAGACAACAAAATCGAAAAAAAAGAAAATCATTTAAGTGCATGAACAGAAGAACGGAACAAATGAAACAACGAAAAATTTTATCCCCTGTTCAGAAGAGAGATGATAAAAATACACAAGATTTCGAAAAGTCATTGTGAATAGCCAATGGAACAATGGAAGTCTTTTTTATTACCGGATATAATCCATAAAGCCACTTGAAAATAAAAAGCAGTCCCTCAGTCTTCAAGCAACAGGTTTCAAAGTTACTCACATCGGTCGGCAGCAGCATCTAGTCACTGGGAATGAGTTCAGTGAGAGTTTGCAACTGCAAATTCGTGGACAACAAGTTGTTTGATATCCTGACTTAGATTCAGCGATGTTCTACCAATGGCTCAACCATCTCTGTTGTTAAGGAAGTTGCTGTCATCACATGTTGAGCAGCGATCCCTCTCAACGACAGCATGTAAAAGATAACCCAGCTGTAACAATGATCGTAAATGAACGCTAGCAGAGAAGGGCAAAAGACAGAGCGAAAGCCTAGAACTCGCATGGCAGCGCGTAATGAAAAAATTATTATTATATCTTAATATTAATATTGCTAGTATTTTACAACAACAGAAGAATTTAACGAACAGAGTGGTACAAACAACTCAAGCCCTACAGAAGTGAATATCAACTGATTAATTCAGTATAAGAACCACTAATTTTTTCGCCTGAACGCTTCTGCAATGCAACAACACTAACTATACTTTATGACCTCAGCTAGCCGTCTTTTCACTCCTTCACATACACACAGTTAAGTGCTAATTCAGTCATCTGAATAACTAGTCATTCGAACAGGAGGCGAAAAGTAACCAATTAGTTCATCAAAAACAAAAATAAACAACAATATGAGCAAGTAGAACTCGAAGTGCACAATAGAAGATAAAACGAACTAAACGGTCAGAAAACAAGCATTTAATTGTTAACTTAATTAGCGGATTTTATTTTGTGCTATCGACGGTTGCTGCAGTCACCGACGTCTAAGAATAGCAAAGTTTGCACAACAGTTGATCAGACTGGCATTATATGACTCATCCACAATGGTGTCGCAGATCCACATTAGAATGTTCGAAAAGAGAATTAGGTAACTATAAAAACCTAGAAAAAATATATGATGAATAAGCATTAGCCGTGCTTCTGGAAGAACAGGGCAGCATGATCGTTTGTAAGCTCTCGTATGACCATGCTAAAGTACCTGCTGTCCTTCACCTTATAGACAGTGAATCTGACAGTACAAAAAGAAGGTTGGAGCGGAGTTCAAATTCACATTCAAAAACTGCAATTACCGTGCTGTGAACATAGC